AGATTCTTTGTTGAGTGTTGTGTTTTTCGCGGCCAGCTTTTGTTTTGTTTCTTTGTTTTTTTTCTGTTGTTCTTCTTTGTTTTCTTTTGTTGGTTGTTGTGGTTTGTTTTTTTTTTGTGGTGTGTTTGTTTTTTTTTGTTTGTTTGTGTTTGTGTGTGTCTGTGTTTGTGTGTGTTTTTGTCTGTGTGTGTGTGTGTGTCTGTGTGTGTGTGTGTGTGTGTCTGTGTGTGTGTCTGTGTGTTACAGCCAATCGCGTAGAGCCGCTTCGATGAGGAGACTTCGGCCGAAGCCGCAGAGCAGCGCAGCTAGCGCTTTCTAATGCGTGGATTGGGGAGGGGTGAGACGGGGGAAGGAAGAAAGGAAGGAGTGGTGCAGGTGTTGGTGGGCATGCAGAAGAGGTGGACGTACAGCGGCAACGGCGAGCTGATTTCGACCTGTACAAACAGCCTGCGGCAGAATTTCTCCTACGAAAAGAACCAGCGTCACTGCCAACAAGACTGCATGCACGGGGGAGACAAGTCTATCCAAGAAAAGAGGCAGTGCCTCCATGGCAAGCGAGTTGGCAACCAGCAATGTGACGAGGAGCTGATGACGTCGCGAGAGCAACTGATGAACCTTGCGCGCTCTGAAAGCGCAAAACGGCAAATGCAGAAAGCACGACGCCTCGCCTACATCGCTAGCTCCACACATACCCACCCCCCCATCCTAACGACAGTTCCTATGGCGACAGGCTGAGAACACGTCATGGCACAGCAGGAGCAGTTGTTGCTGCTGCGGCTGTAGCTGCAAGGCAGAGAGGGCTCCGAACGGTTGCTGCAGCTGCGGGAAGCGCTGGGTGCCATGCGCATGCATGCAGTGTGCGCTGTCTCCGTTTTTCCTCGACTAGCGGCTTCCGCAGCGCCACGCACTGCTCGCGCAAACGGCGGGAGACTGCGTGTCGGTGGTGCCTAGAAGCGTCTCTTTCTTGCTCCCCTTTCCCCCCTCCCTCCCGCAGAACCCCACACAACGCACTGCGCTTTCTCCTTCTCAGTGCCAGTCTCCTGGAGCACAAGGAGCTGCAGCTCGTCGAACGCCATAAATCCAGTAGTCAAGCCACTCGAGATCCCCGCGAAGGCGACGAGCAAGGCGCTGCAGCCTATCAGAAGCCACGTGTGTGCAGACTCTGAGCTCAGCTCGCTGAACGGATGCAGCCACGCGCGTGAGCTGCCGTTGGCGGAATAATTTCCCGCCGCGTCTGCCCCGTCGGCGTGAAGAGTGGAGGCAGCGGGGTTGCTTCTGTTGCTGCTAGTGCTGTCGCTACTTCTGCTGCTGTCGTCCGTCTTGCTGAGATCCGCAGCAGCAGTGGTGGCTGTTTCAGCAACCGGGAGATTCGCTCGCGCCTCGCCACTCGAGTTCAGCAGACCCTCTCCAAAAACCTTTGCAGGAGCACTCTGCAGCAGCTGGAGAGGAATGCTGTCTCCGTGTGTCTTGTTTTGGCGGGAGTCTTCTTCCGCTGTCAGTCCGGCTTGGTGCTGCTGTGCAGCGGGGGGGGGGGTGGTAACACCCCCTGAGGTCGCCTGCGGCACTTCCCCATTCGAATAACCCCACCGTTCCAGCCACGCGGCTACTGCGCCTGCGCGGGGAGCTGCAGACTCTGCCCCCCTGAGCAGCGAACTCAGCAGCAGCAGCAAGAGCAGCGGCTGGCTCTGCCGACGGCTGCAACTCAAGCAGCGCATCTTATAGGAGTAGGCGTGCTGCCCACTGCCGCTCCTCTGGAGCTGCTGCTTCTGCGCTGGCTCGACCGGCTCCTCCGGGTGCAGTTCAGCGCCTATCTTGTCGCCTCCGAAACTCGACCACACTCACAAATGAGCAGATAAAATATGTAGATATATGTGTATATGTATATCCATGTAACGCTGGGGATGAAGACTGAAGCGACTCCTGGGTGTAGGAAGCTGCGGCTTCTTCTGAGTGCGTTGGTGCTCTCGTGTGTGTCTGGCTCCTCCACGTCCCCTCTCTTCTAGAAGCTTTTTCCGATCACGTCACGCTGCATTGGATGATCTGCTTTGCCCAACCCCCCCGCACTGAAGAGTTGCGCCCGCACACGCAGCAAGTGTGCTTGGTTCGTTGGCTTCGCTGCTTAATTCCTTCTGCCGTTACTGCTCTGGCCGTAGCTCCCCAAAATGCAGGGTTGGCTGCAGCAGCTGCCGCTGCTTGCCTTAGCTCACCCTCCGCGTGCAGTTAACGTGGTTTCTTCATTCGCTGCGTCAGAAAACATCTGTGTGTAGCAGAATCTGGAAGGAGGACGGCGGGGAAGAAGCGCATGACCACCAGGGAACCCTGCAGCAGGAGGTGTCGTTACAGCAGACGCAACACCAGCGAGTGGCAGCAACTGCGGCAACATCAAGGGAAGCAGCAGCTTGCGGCGCCTCTATGTCGGAAATCAGACGACTCGCCACGAAATATGCGGCGAAGACACAGATATGCGTGTCGTAGCGCCAGTATATTACACCCTTCGCGGACTGCCGCTACACCGCCTCGACCCCAACGCATGCACGAACCGAGGAGAGTAACAGGCAGGCTTCCCGTTGCTGCCGCCCCCTACGCATCCGTAAAGCTCCAAGAAACAAACTCGAACATGTTTCTTTGCAGAAGACAGCATGACATAATATACGGTGTATCTTGATGCAACTCTCTGAATAGGAGCCGCAGAACTCCCCGGCTGTAGCTGCACACCACTAGCAGGCTGTCAGGTTCTTCCAGCATTGGCTGCCGCCTTCTGTTCCTCGAAGGCACTTTTGCGCGCATTCAAGTACACTCTCTCGCCAGTAACTCCGTTCCTGTCAGCATAAAGTGCAATTCGAGCGCCGATCTGCCGCTGCACAGGCCCAGCCGAGAGGCGCTCGCGGAGTAGATGCCTTAATGCCGGCATCTGCGCTCCTTTCCGCTTCCGACGGTAGCGTCGACCCTTTTGGCAACGCCTCCTGTGGCTTGAAGCACTGCGCCTCGAGCCGTTTTCACCCCCTGTTGCACACACTTCTCCCGAGGGATCGTTAGAGCAGTCCGATAAGTCCCCCCCCGCCTCCCTCACTACCAGAGACGTTGTCGGCGTGAGCGGCAGCAGCATAACTCTCGGCCGTTCATTTGCAGCATTGCCATCGAGAATGAAGTTTTCAAAACGCTTGCAAGAACTGCGGGAGCGTCGGCGAGCCGCCTTCTATGTCTCCTACAAGGAACTGAAGAAAGCGCTCAAACTCTTCACAGGCGCAGATGTTTCTGCAGTCTCCATCAGAGATGCCGTCAGCAGCTTCGCAAACACCAAGGCTCTCGAGGGGGAGCACTACAGGTGAGGACTGGCAGCAGCCTCCTGGCTGGATCCTAGCCTGCACGAGCCCACTGCTGCCTGCACCCCCCTTCTCTCGGAGTCGCATCCTGCCGTTGGAGGCAGCTTGCTTCTAGTCATTCCCGCGCCAAAACAAGAAGCTGCGACAGAACCTCAGCTGTAGCCTGCTTCTCTCGCTTCTTCGCATGCGGCCTTTGCTCGCTCCGTTTGAAGCTGGTGCCTCTTCGTGCCGCCTCTCGCCTCAAACGGATGCACAGCGCATGCAGCAGTTGCTGACGATTCTTCTTCTTCTTGCGGATGCACAGCGCATGCAGCAGTTGCTGACGATTCCTCTTCTTCTCATTGCGGAAGCACTGCGCATGCAGCAGTTGCTGACGATTTCTCTTCTTCTCATTGCGGATGCACTGCGCATGCAGCAGTTGCTGACGATTTCTCTTCTTCTCATTGCGGATGCACTGCGCATGCAGCAGCCGCTGACGATTGCTCTTCTTCTTGCGGATGCACTGCGCATGCAGGCCCCCAGAAAGCCGCTTCGAAGACTTGCTGCAACACGAACTCGAGAAGATCAACTCCTTTTCAGTCAGCACGTTGCTTGCCGCCTCTGCCGCTCTGCAGCAGCTGCTGCTGCAGCTGTACGCCTTGCAGCACAAGCAGCAAGAGCTCCTGCTAAAGACTCAAGCCGCGCAGCAGGCAGAACACAGGGAGACGCCTCAGGGCAGTCATGCACGGCAGAAAAAGCAGCAGCAGCAGCAGCAGCAGCAGCAGCAGCAGCAGCAGCGCCAGCCGCAAGGCGGGAAGGGGGGAGACGACGCTGCTGCTGACAGCGGCACTCCATGCAGAGATTCGCCAGCTGCCGACTCCCTTGCAGCGGATCAGAGATCCTCTCCTGCAGTTGCAGAGGCAGCGACAGAAGCAGCGACAGAAGCAGCGACAGCAGCTGCGGCAGCAGTGACTGCTCAGAGTGGCGCCGAGTCGGCAGCTGCGTCGTTCGAGCAGGATTTGCTGGCAGTTGAGGGGGCTCTGGATGCTGAAGGTCAAGAAGTGGTCTTCTTGTCTTCCTATATTCGTCTCAACTTCACAGCCTTTCGAAAAATCGCAAAGAAGTTCGACAAACTCAACAAATCCTCCTCGGCGGCATACCACATGTGCAGGTGACCATGCTGCACTCGGTTTTTCACGCACACACACACACACACACACACAGATATACACGTATTATGTACATGAATATTCAGACATACACGTATTATGTACATGAATATTCAGATTGTTTGTGGAAGCTGCGTGCATGCTGCGCACGTCCCCCAGCTGCCAACGCTGCGAATGCAGCCGTTGGAGCTGTCTTTCGATGCTGCTCTCTTGGCGCATCCGCGCGACTTGCTGCATGCGTCTGGCTCCGGCGCTGTTGCTGCTCGTGTGCAGGGTGATGGGGCAGCCGTTTATGCGTCTTAATCTGCCTCTGCTGCTGCAGCAGCTGGCTGCAGCGTATGCGCAGCTGCGAGCTTTGAAGGCTATGAAGGAATTTCCCGAAGTCGCAGTGGCGGCTGCAGCGGCTGCAGCGGCAGCAGCGGCTGTGACGTCGTCGTCGAATTGCTCGACCCCAACAGCGCCAGCACCAGGCGCTGTAGCAGCAGCAGCAGCTGCTGCTGCTGCTGCTGCTAAGCGCCCGGTGGACTCTGTCGCCGAAGGCATTCCCCAAGCCACTACAAAGTATTTAATTCTGCCAGACGAGGTTGTCAGGTACAATAGCCTCTCTGATCCGCTGCCACTGGGCTCCAGACACGAACTCTGTGCAACACGCGTTAGAGGCACCATGCAGTGTGGCAGACGTCTCTATATATACATATATATGCATGCATGCATGCTGCGTTTTACGAGGGATTCAAGCGGGTTTCCCTATTCGAGGGTGCAGCTTCTTTTTGGCTGTTTGTATGGGGCTTCGACTGCACGTTTGTCTGTGTCTATATATATATCTATATATATACATATATATGTCTGTGAATATGTACAGTGTGTGTACGTATATGTATGTGTATGTAAATGTGTATATGTATATGGTGCGCGCGAACCCGGGCACCTTTAGGCTGCAAGTCATGTTGGCGAAGCATTTCCAGCTGATTTCCATAAAGGGCTGCTCAGTCGACACGACTACACCCCTTCCAGCTGCTGCAGCCACAGCGGTGGCTGCAGCAGCCGCTGCGAAGGATGTCAAGGCTCCAGCGGAAGTTCATGGCGAAAGCGGCAGTAACAGAGTGGCAGAGGCGCTAGCCTCCGGAGATTCTCGCCGTCTTACGTCGCTCGTATACTTTGACACTCCGAATTTGGACTTGTTCGTGTCTCTGGTGGGTGTAAATACAGAAAGAGTTGGTGCTCTGCAGGATTGCGAGGGAGGACAGAGGAGAAGGGAACGGGGAGGGAGCGGAAAACAGATAGGAGGGTGCAGCGTGACTGTTGTCGTCGCTGTTGCTGTGGGTTCTGTGCGCCTCCCATGCTGTTGTATGAGCCTACGATTGCGCATGCATGCACATCTATATATAGAGATATTATTTGTATACCCCCCATCTTCGGCTGCGACTGCGCTGCTGTTTGTGCCCTATGCCCCGGTGCTGCAGCAAACGAAAGGCAGAACAGATCCCAAGATTTCCGACAGCAGCAGGAGCAACGCGAGCACAGGCAGCGTTAAGGAGTTGCTGCGCATACGGGAAATCAATGCAGGCGAAGTGGCAACCTCTGCTCAAGGACCATTGCGCTTCCTCGAGTTTGCCAACCCCCAGGAGCCAGCAAGCGATCCCCAGCAGCAGATATTTCCAGCCTACGACGTGAGTCTGAGTTCTCGAAACTGTTTGCGCGAGTTGCATGTCATTCTCACACGCAGAGAGAGAGACGGGGTGGGAAGGAAGCACGCTGACACCCGCCCCCTTGAGAGCTCTCGCTGCTTAGCCAGCAGACACTTGCGCTAGTGCCTGCATCGCTGCTCCCGACAAATGGCAACAGCGTTTATCGGTTATGAGGCAGGAGAAGGGGGATTGCGCGCAATGGGGAGGGGGGGCAGGGGGAGGTTGGGGGTGTCGCTTCGTTCCACTTGTCAAGCCTTCCTTTAGCGGTCGTGTCGATTCCTAGGAAGGCTCATAAGAGCGTTTCGACGGCGTGCCTCCTGCGATTGCGTGCGCGTGTCATGCAGAGCCCTTTGGTCCTAGAAGCTCTGCCACGAAGCATTCTGATGCAGCAGCTGTCTCTGCAGCAACTCTTCACTGGGCATGCAGAAATCGCAGCGCAGCAGGTGGAACGGTACCTACTGGATGCAAGTGAGCGAACGCAGTAGGCAGCAGGGTTCCCTTCAAGTGTCTGGAGTTGGCCCCTACTTAATAGTGTTGGAATACGCTAAGCTGAGCGTTCTGCTTAATGCTCCAGATGTCTCGAAAGAGACGGTATCAGCGCGGGGTGCGCTCCTGCGGGAGGCTCGAGAGGTTCTCACGTCTCAAGGTTTATATCCCTGTTTGAGGGTGTGGCTAACAAGAACGTGTTTCAGGTACGATCGCCACGTCTCTTCTCTCGTGAAGACTGTGGAAACGACGTGTCTAGAGGCATTGGCATGGCTATAATGAGATGCGTTTGGCAGGCTGCTTTTTGTAGGGTTCCTTGGGCATGCAAAGGCAGACACCTTCTTGTTCGCCATTTTTTCAAAAGCCTTTTTTGCAAGCACTTCTTAAATCTGTCTGAGCTCCTGCAGATCATGTGACGCAGGTCTGAGGATGGATCGATCTTTGTGACGCTGGACGAAGATATTCGCTTCTCCAAGAACAGTCCAGACGGCGATGCTCACGGTGCGGCAGCGTGTTAGACACGAACCCTATGAAATGCCTCTTCCTCCTTCCGCCTCTACTTACTTCCTCCCGAAGTTTTCCTCGAGGGTTGCTGTGGTGTATCCAACGCGGCTTTTTGTGCAACTTCTTGGGGAGTTCGCGAGCTCTCTCCGCATGCACGGGCATCCACGGCGTCGTAGATTGCGTGAACTGCGTTTGCAGCTTTCCTCTTCAATGGAGCTGCCGCGCTGGCGTCGGAAGGAGCTGCCCCCTTCCCATGGGGGGTGATGGACGTCTCCTGTACGAACTCCTCCGGAGGCTTGCCCCCCCCCTCTCAGCAGCGAACTGAACGCCAGGCGCTGCTAGTTTCACCCGCCTTCAGCTGCCTGAGGGAGGCTGTTGGTAAGGATCTTGGACTTACCGCAGCCAGGCTGTGGAAAGGCGCGCTTCTTCGCTGCCGTTAGGGGTGCCGTGAGGCTGCATGCGCTGGGGATGTTCTTTTTCGCTGCTGAGCTGGTGAGCACTACAGATTGGGGAATAGGTCTCAAGAGGCTTCGGTGTTGCTTGAACGCTGCGCTTTAGGCATGGCTAGCGTAACAGAAGTCTTTGGATTTTCCCTGTTTGTCCATGGGGTAGCGAGTCAGTTTCAACAGGAGCTGCAGCGGCGACAGCGCGCGAATAGCGCGAACGACAAAGTCTTCGTGCCTCACTGGCTCGCCTACACCACCATAGCCGAGGAGGACGATGAGGAGTTTCAAGCAGCTACCAACATGGCGGCTGCAGGTTCAGCTTCGCCCGCGCTTGGCACGCAAGCCTTACAGGTGTGGCCTTCTGTGTCGCATCAGTCGCAGCAAGGGCTGGAAATCCACGATGTGCCTACTGCAAGCAGACACGTTTCGCGTTCTTCGAAACTGGATGTGATATATAGAGGACCTGGAGCTTCGATTGCTCATGACCAAGAGGCGTCCGTCCAGGTGTGTCTTTTTCGACGCGGTTGCGGCGTGGGGGTTGTGTTTTTTTAAGGGATTTTTGAATTGTTTATCGGGGGTGGTGCGTGTCATGCATCCTTCTCCCCTCGCTTCCCCTGCGAGAGCCGCGTTTGATGTGGTGCGTGCTGGACGGCTCTCTCTGTGCGTCTCTCTCGATACACACACGCAGCAGCCAGCAGGGCGTTAGGCTTCGAATGCTGGCCTTATTTTTGCAGGAGCTGCGGCAGTCTCTCGAGACGACTTCGACGGGAGCTGGACCTACGCGGACAGGAGGCGGCACGAGGAGTCGCGCGCGAGGATTGCAAGAACCGCTGTTAGGAGGAGGCGAAGGGGGAGACGGCAGCCGAACCATCTCCCGAAATCAGACACAGCACAGAGCAGGATGGCTGCCAACTTGCTGCAGTGGCAGCGGGAGCTGCTTCCCCCTGATGCGGCGTTGCTGCGAAAGAGTCTCTCAATACCTGCGCCTTCGTCCGCGCAGGGGACGCAGCGGCTTTACGGGATTATCTGGTGTATCGACACCAGCGGGAGCGACGGTGCGAGTTGAACCCAAGACTTTCTTTGCCAACGAGAGAACGCTGCTCCAGTGGCTGAATATCGCAGTGCTGTTAGCCTCCGTTGCCATCACTCTGCTCTCCTTCGGACAGACTGCGGCAAAAGCAGCTGGCCTGCTTCTTGCGCCAGTAGCAATCTTCTTCATTGGGTATTCATTCTGGGTAAGAGCCGCGCATGCACTTGGCAAAATATCGAGAACTTAAAAGCACCTGCTCTTAGAGTTCTCTCCTACGCATGCGCATGACAAAGGACGAATGCGGGATCAATGACTGGCGCTTGAAGTGTATTTCTCCATCGCTGCTGCTCTGCGCGGCTGCTCGACAGAGTGACGCAGCACACCTGAGCCGAGAGCCAACGGCAAACCCGCTAAAATTGTGAATTTTGGGGTAATTAGCTTTCACGGCATTGCGTTCACTCCGCCTAATTGTGCCGTTTTGTGATCAGATCTATTTGCGGCGTTCTCGTGCCTTAGAGCGCAAGGAGCCCATAGACTACAACGACCACTTTGGTGCGTCAAGAGCAACGAGCGCAGTTGCTGTTGTGATTTCCTCCACACGAGGCGTCAGGTGTTTGCAGCAACAGGTCGAGGGATCTCTGCAGCCGTTTGTTTGATATCGGGTTGGGCGCATAGAGCAGTCTCTCTCTTTCTCTCTGCATTCTGGATTGTTGTATGTACAGGCCCAGCAGTACTGGTAGTGTCTCTCACTCTGGCTCTGTGTGCAAACATCTTCCTGAACGTCGTCTATACGGAGGCTCCAGTGACCTCACTCGCGGCACTAACCACAGCGGCTTTCCAGCCTGTGCTTCCTCCTGCATCAGGCAAGGGGGCACTCCCTGGTGCTGAGCCTTCAGCAGCCAACCTCCTTGCTGCTGCGACAGCGAACTTCCCAACCATGGCAGTGGTGGGTAGTTCCGGAGGTGGCGACGATAGTGCCAGCAGCAGACTGGAATCACTCAAAGCAGCACTGGCTGCAACGTCAGCAGACAGTGATGCAGGCAAGGCCGAAAGGGAAGCTGCAGCTCGAGTTGCAGCTGCACACGTTGCAGCGATTCGACAAATCGCTCAAGTGCGTGCTGCGGAGGCAGCAGCAGCCGCTGCAGCAGCTAAAGCCGCAGCAGCAGCAGCAGAGAACGCGGAGGCAGCCGCGGCGGAAGTTGAGGCATTAGGAGCTCAAATACTGCATGCGCAGGGGGCTTGAATTGTTGAATCCCCCTCGTGTCATGTATATATGTGCGAAGCATCTGCTCCTTGGGGGTTGAGGAGGCCGCAAGTATAGGCTGCTCTTTTTGTAGCTTTGCCGGATGAACTCTCTTGCTGGTACACCAGTCATTGCTGCTAAAGAGCCTCACCAACAGGAGCAGCTGTGACTGCTGCAGACCATCAGAGACACATACAAATATATATAAATGAATATGTGGGGTGAGAACAATGACGACTACAACCCTAGTAGGCGAACCTCTTGTGCAATCAAAACAGGGTGGACAGTCCAGAAGAAACCAAGAGCTCGTCTCTGGCTCCCACTTCGTGCGTTTCGATTGATACGGTCTTTAGAGACAGTTCTACGCTCCAGCGCAGCGTAAAACCTGGAAACTAAGGACAGAAAGCTCAAGTCACACAGCCACCAGGGCCTAGCAGACGGGTGCAGGGGAGATCGGCTCCCACGAGCTTGGCATGCACTGATCGCCTACAACTGGCTCTAAGTAGCGCCTACTGAATGGTCCATCTTCAGGATGACGGGGTAAATTTTCCTGCGGTGGCGGCTGGGCGTTTTGTCAATGCGAAGCTGCATCTGAAATGAATGGTGTTACGCACACTGCATCGTGTACATATTGGCGGCATGGTCACCCAAGGCAGTCCGTACAAATGTGTTTACTACACTCGAAGGCCAGATTCTCGTGTCTTGCACGACGACCAACTAGGGTATAGAATATGAGCGGACCACAGGGCAGCTCAGTACAATGAGCTGTTATTCCCTGGTTTTCTGCTATCGAGCTGATCGTATGTAAACAACCCTCTACGTCGCCTAACGGGCAGTGCGAGCTCCGCAGTAGCGCACGTAGTCAAACACATGAGCATATGTCATGAATGGCCAATGAACGTGCAATCACTTACAGGCGAATCCGTCTACCTAACTACAAGCATCATTTGACCACTTGATTTACAGCAGCTTAATGCAGAGGTAGAAAAACAATAGCTTCAGGAAAGCGTACAACGACCGCCACGCAACTGCTGACTTTTCAAATTGACTGCTGACTATGCCGTCGTTATTCGTTTGCAGTTCGAATTACGCAAGGCCAAGATGCCTGCAGTCGGACTCTTCAATCTTAGCTCCGTCAATACTGCAGTTACTCAGGTATGCTGCTTTACGATAAGCAACACAAATAGCGGTACAAGATTTTCGCTGTGCACCGTGTGCAAAGACTATGCTACATCCATGAAAAGCTCAGGCGTATTGAGCTTAGTTTCCGTAAATCACTCAAGAATCACAACGCCTGAAATCTGTATCGCAAGCTGGGAGATATTGTTTTATTGAGCGTCACCTGATAGTGCACTTTGGCGACGCGCGTACCCAAACCACATATATAGCAAGCCCTATATGCTGGATCTCCTCGCAGTTAAAGAGCTAGCATACTTGTTTTCAGATCAGCTGGCACCGACGGTAGTGATGAAACAAGTCTCCCGCCTTTTCGATGACTCGGACACCGGAGAGGGATATGTGCTCCCACTTAACGGATTCTGTATTGCAGAGGCTTCCTCGCCCTCGTTGTGCCTTTTTGCACCCTATTACAACTATAACTATGTGCGGCTCGTGTGCAAGGCTTGATTTCCCTTTTAGCATGACAAGCTACACTCTGTGCGCGTTGCAGCATCAGGAGTAACTGGAGCAGTTGATCCACGTCTTGGGAACTGCATATTTATTGCGACACAGCAGGCAATGCTGTTGCTTTCTTATTACTCTTGGTCCCTATTGCAAAATTCAGGCAACGGGACTTGCGCTGCAACTGTTTTGCCTATACATGCTAAATATTCACAAAGCTGGGTGGGGTCCGCCAAGCAAGATATAAACAATATTTTTTACGCGTGAGTTTTCACCAAGAAATAGTAAACAATAGACTATTTGATATGGTTGCTAGAATACCTTATATTTGAGAGTAATACTCGCTCGTTCCATGAAAAAGCAAGGCCTTTTGCCTACACGCTACATGTGGTGTAGAACTAGCTGTGAATGCTTGGATTGTTAGGCAATGCAACCAGGTGCACCCTAGGTGTTCCTTTTCCCACTTTGAATTCTGAGAAGCGCGGGGAAGCGACAGCATGAATTCTTACTTGTGGAAATACAAGCTCTCATATTAAGTGTGTACTGCGGCTGGGGTTAGGTGCCTCCAAACAGACACCTTTGATGAACCTACACAGTTGGCAGCATCGAATTCTTCGATGCAATTGTTCTCCGCCCATCCACTAGCTGTGGATGCCATGACATCGGCTTTCCCTCGAGCACTTGCTGAGTTTTAATAAAATTTTGGGCGTCTCTATGTCAGCAGTCTGGAAACAGCTGTACTGATGGATTTGTGGTGCTTCTCAACGCCTGGTTGTACGCTAGAAGCCGACCTGCAAACTGATGTGGACGAAAGGACGTCTTATCTGGTAAGTAAACATGCTTCATCAGCCCACAGAATTTCCAGGGATGCGTAGACGATGCTGCCCAGAAAATCACAATGGCCATAAGGACGCGCGACCGCACGAGAACTTTATTGGCTCAAGAACCACTGTATTTTGTTCTGCACTCGATGATAAGAAACGCGTACTGCTCGCAGCGTGGTTTTTGGAGGGCATGGCGCCTCACCGTTAGCTCTTTATATGTGGAGACAGTGGTCTGCATGCAGGGATGACTACCTTTCAAGGCTGAAGCTCCTTGACATACGGAAGAGGCTAAGATTACCTCAAAAATAAAAATTTTGGGAACACCGAGAAACGCGAAGCAAGCAGATCTACTGGTAGATCCGCTTATTAAAAAACACGAAAGTTTGGATCGCAAAAGTCACAGCGTGGACGGACACTTATTTATCAATGACTTGTCATAGGCTTGAGCGTCGTTGGTTGAGCAAAGATTCAATAACTGAACAACCAACAGGTGGAGCTTGGCATCACAGACTATTCAAAATCTCAGAAACGCATTACAGCTAGATCTGTGTCTTTAACTAAAACGAGACAGCCGAAAAGGCGTCTGGAAGTTATGGGTTTCTGTGGTGGACCTGGCTCCTAGGCAGCTCCAGACTGCCTCCCAACGACGCAGCTGCTTCCAGCGTTGCGACATTGGTCAATATAATCATGCACCGCAAGTATGGGGCTGATACCTTGCTAGCCCGCTTGTCCTTGAATGTCTAGAAGCAATCTTTTTTAATTGATGTGGCTCTCAATGCATATGGCCATCTGAAACCTCCCCAGCTAACCTTATTGCTCCCCAGTCAGCCTGATCCCTCTGCGTCTACCACTATTTACGGTTATTGCAATTTACAGGCACTTGGGGGCTCCCTACCCTCAACGGCCTTTTATGGACAGATATTTGCTCGATGCTGTGAAAAGGAAGGCCCTAAAAAAGGAAGTCCCTACCCACCAGCATGAAAATTTTTATGCAGTTGCTAACCACGCCACCTAATGTGCCCTCATGCAGCCGCGTTCGACGTCGTCGGAGTACCTGGAGCCTTCGTTTAGTGCATAGCGGTATTTTTGGTGTGTTTTTGAATCTTTATTGCATCGCATGTCATGTTATATCTGACTTTCAGCGAAGAAAAGCCCGATAAGTACTGAGGTAGGGAGAAACCCGCGAATACCCTTTGGGTGATAATAGCCTGTATTCTCAGCATCCCGGCAATGTAAATAAACTGCAAGCAATGCCTTTGGTTAATACTGCATCCCCAAATCAAACCGTAAACAGCTTCCTTGATGGTGGGGACAGTGAAGAGGCACTGGGGACTAGTGTGGCTTTCTCATCTCAAGGGCTGCAGGCACGTGGAGATTATACTTCACAAATACCTATCAAAAAGGCTAACTCCATTGCCCGTGTATGCATTTAAAGGATTAAGACCAGCTGCATGTACCAACGGCACAATTGTGAGCACACATAAGCTGGGGTATATTGAAGCCGAAAGCAGAAGTCTGCGATAACAATATTTGAAGGATTTTGTTTGAGACACAGTGACTCAGCCAGCCATTCAACAGTCTTCGCACGGGGTAGGACTGTCTTACTGCTCTTGGGCATCAGCATAAGCTACCGCCGTAAGAAGTGCTGTCCGCAAGCACGCTTATTACGCACTACTAAAGATGTTCGTAGCGAGCCATTCCCCTCTACACTAAATACAGACGTTTACAATTTGAAAATCAATTTTTCTTAAAGTATCTTTTCCTGTCCTCTGCTAACGCCCCCTAGATCTCCTACAAGAGGCCAGAGCCACAATTAATGTGCGCGTCACTGCATCTTCTGGGCACTGCAAGCATTCACAGCTCGCTTCCCATAGCATCTAGCGTACATACAAACGATTTTCCGTCTTGTCATTACTAGCTAACAGTATTCGCCTAAGACTTAAGGTCATTCGAGCAGTAAAGCCAAATATTCGATTAATTACAGGTTCTCCGTTGAATCCAACTACGGTAGTGGAATGTGCTCCGGCATATCTTAGCCCGTTGCTTCTTTCCTCGATCATTTCGAGACCCACGTCTCAGTTCTCGCACTACCGCCAGTCCCCTGGCAAACAATGCGCAGGAATAGCGCTCTACGAATAGGCAAATTTCGGCATCAGTGAACAAGGTGGTAAAAATCAGAACAAAGACACATTTTAGGCAGCAGTGCTCAAGACGCAGAACACCACGACCACTGCGGCTCGATTACTTATTTTTTCCTGAGCACTGACACTTCATGCTGCGAGCAAGCAGCGAAGATGTGAGGTCCGTAAAGCCAATAAGAAATTTTACTGGTTTATTAGTGCCTGCCGGAGCGTTCGATTAGTCTATGAATGCAGATATAGCCTGTGCAGGCAACATAGCCTAGTTCTTAGCTTCAATTTACAGGAAAATGTAGGGACAACATACCTGTGCGTACTTCGCATAAATATTGGTGTACTGAATGCATTGATGATATCTCGCAGCATATCGACCAATATCCATAGCTGAAAGCTATTTTTCCTCAGCGCATGCGCTGCT